GGCCCAGAGAGAGAGAGAGAGAGAGAGAGAGAGAGAGAGAGAAACAGTTGCCCGAGGTCACACTAGAGAATTGGGTTCTGGATCCTTATCTTTTCCACTGGTGATGGTGATGGTTCTACCACACCGCCCAGGTTCCAGGATCTGGTTCCTGCCAGCTGGAGGGCTCTTCCAGGCCAGTCCTGTCCCCCAGCCTTGCGCTGGCCTGAGGTTAATGCACACCAGGCTACACTAGGTGACTTGCCAGTTGGTTGCATCTTGGCTAGAAAAAGAGAGGCTGCCTTGTCCACAGAAGGAGCCTGAACCTGGGGTAAGAAGCCTCGGTTTGTAATCTGGTGCCTTCAGTCAGCAAGCTCTTGGAGCGGGGGTGTCATCTGCCTGGGACTCAGTGTCTGACTGAAAAATAGGGGATAATGGCCTCTTGATGTGATTGCCATGTGACTGTTGGGCCCCATCAGTGGGGAAGCATTGGAAAAAAAAAATTGTAAGTACTGCAGATTGAACCACTGAATTTCATCCCTGGCCCCTTTTAATTTTTACTTGGAGACAGGCTCTCACTAAATTGCTAAACTGCCCAGACTGGGCCTGAACGTGGGATCTTCCTGCCTCAGCCTCTCAGAGTGCTGGGATGACAGGCGTGCACCACCATGTCTGGCCGAGCGTGTGCTTTAGATTGCAGGCCACAGAGCTAGCATTGGTGTGGAGCTCTTCTCTCCAGAGAAGGACTCTGTCTTCCCTCTCCCCCTCCCTCTACCTTTTATCAAGTGCTAGGTGGTGCAGGAAAGACACAGTAAAGACTTCTCTGATGATTGATTACATTACAGTGGCCAGGAAGTTCTGGTCCTTGGGTGCATTGGAAACATACTGCCAGGCCTGGGACTGGAGCAGGAGGCTGGGAAGGGAGCAAGGGGGAGGGGAAGTGGATGATAGAAAGAAACTGGATTTAGAAAACAAACTCCAGCTAATGGCTGTAGGTGGTGTTAGTCATTCTGTTAAGGAATTTGAGGATACATATGCATACTAATAGGAATCTGTTTGGTTCTTACTCCAGCCTTTGGAAAGGAGGGGCTGGGGAAGGACACCGGAAGTGAAAGACCTCCCGGCTCTAGGTCAGAGGGCTGCTGTACGCATGTCCTCCAGGCCCAGGGGACACACTGGGGAGGGGCTGGGTGTTGGCCTGGAGGAAGCTGAATGAACCGGGTGCTAGAAGGCAGGGACAACTCCGAGACTCTGGGCCATGCAGCAAACTCAGTGGCAGAGATCCCAATGCCTGTGTGATGGGGTTCCAGTGCCTTGCTTGTTCCCCTGGCCCACAGCTGTTTTACTGACCACCGTGATGGAGGGAAGTTCTGAGAAACATCCAGTGACCCCCAGGATTGCAGACTGCACCCCCACTTTAATACAGCAGGTTTAACAATGTCCACCCTGTGATTCCATGGCCTCAGGTACCTGGTCCCACCTTGCTGTGTAACCTGAAGCTCTTGCTGCATTTTAAGGCAATTTCCTGTCTTTTTCCTACTCCATGAGACAGCAAAGAGGGGTGAGCTTTTGTCCTTTGCACTGGGGTCCTTCTATGGAATGCCAAGGGCTGGACCGACTCAACTTTCTTCTCTGGCTGAGTGGTCTCTCCCTCTAGCCCTCCCCGGAGACTTTCCCAATGAGACACTGAGGTTCCACTCAGCAAGTGGGTGCTGGGAACCGGCCATATGCCCAGCGGTGCACCAGGAAATCAGTGCTTCCAGTCTAGCCAGCAGCCAAGGGGTACAGACAACAGGGCAAGGCTGGGTAAGGAGTGACCCAGGGACGTAGGGGGAGCTAGGATGTCCTTTGCACTAGGGTTCTGAGGTCATGTTGAGGGACGGAGGGCAGGGTGGCCTGTGTATTTGCACAGTCCTTTACTGTGCAGGGACCACAAGAAAGGGTACAGATACACCTGCCAGTTCTTGCTGCAGCTCCCTGGGGAGTCATCCTCCACCCTGCACTTCAGATCTTGGCTCTAATCAGAAACAATGACAGATGCACAAAGAGCCTTAAAATTGCTCACACCTTAGGCCAGTGATTCGTTCAGAGGGTCCAGCCTGACGGAAGACAGAAGCGTGCGGGCAAAGACTTGGGGACAAAGATGTTCATCACAGCGTTATTTAGAAGGATGAAGATGGAGCACCCAGGTGCCCTCCATGGGAAGAGTTGTGGGCAGTGGCTTTTTCTTTCTCTCTCACAGGAAAATGCCATGGCCTCTTTGGGGAGTCCTGGCTTATCTCCATGGTCAGAACCCAGTAAAGCAGGCAGGTGTTTGGGCTTGCTCAAGGAACCAAGAACTCCACCATCATATCTTCTGGGGGTTTTCCATGGTACACGGTGGCTGTGGGATGGCTTTTCTTCTGGTTTCCCAACATTATCAGGGTCCTCCCTCACAGCAAATTCGCTTAGGGTTTCCCAGAGCTGCAGAGGCTCTTAGAAAGACCCCTTTGAAGGGAAGGGACTCATCTGTCCTCCTTACCTGACTCCTAGCTCGGGGCTCAGTTTACACTGAGGCAAGCGTCCCTGAAAAAATAAGCAGTATATCCTCAGAACTTCCCACAAGCCAGGCCCCAGCTCTTCACGGGGTATCCACCTCCTCTTCTCAGAGCTGGGCAAACTGCTCAAGGGGATTGGTTTACTCTGGAGCAGGATTGGGCCATCCTTCCTGTGCCTGTGGAGGCGGCTCCTTCTCATCAGTCCTTTCTGCTTTTTTCCCCCTCTGTCACATTATTCTAAAGCTTTACTGACTTCCCAGAGCTGATCGTTTTCTGATCTGGTGCCAGCCTGGCTCTGTCCCCACTGCTCTACTCTGGTCCTCTCAGGGGCGACTGTGGGGTGCGCACATAACCTAGATGCTGTCCCACCCCTTGTGGGGACTCAGAGATCCAAGCTTGGGCTGCAGTTCCTCCCAGCTCTCCTGGAGCCCCACCTATAGTATGCAAACCACAGTTCAGCACGGAGGGAAACCCTGAATTACCTCCCTCTCCTTCCTCCCTCCCTTTCCTCCTCCCTTCACACCTCCACCTCCTGGTTCCTCTCCCTGTGTTTTCTTCCTCTTTTCTCCACTTAGCTTCCTTCTCCCCAGGCCCAGCCCCTCCTGAACCCCTGGAGCATGGTCTGGACCATGGAGCATGGACCTGGAGCATGGTCTGTAGCCCACCAGCCCCAGCTTCTGGGGTGCATCTGGGGAGGGTGCCCAGCACCGCACCTGGTGCCCTTCTTGGGCTCCTGCAGATATGCACCCAGACATGTGCACAGACAGACAAGAGGCAGGGCCTTGGGTTCCTCATCCATCCAGTGGAGCCCAGCGGAGCCAACCCCGACTGCAGACACATTCACGTGCCACATGTGCCTCCCCGTGGGTAACCGGGACAGGTGCATGGAGTGTATTAGCCGCCAGGACAGGAGAGGTGCATTGAGACAGTCTTCCTGCCCTGGGGGCCTGATCTGGAGCCTCAGCAGGACCCTCAACAACTGATTTCCGGGAGAGGTACTAGCGCCTCTGGGTAGGTCAGGAAGGCAGAGCCCAGTGCCAGTTCCCCCAGGAACTGGTCTTGTTACCCGCGTGGCAGACAGGGTAACCGAAGACAGGGGACCCTGGACTCCACCACCTACCACGTGCTCGGGGCAAGTCGCTTTATTCTTCAGGGTCTCAGTTTCCAACTACGTCAAACGAGGGTTGTTGGGAAGATCCGACAGGAGAGGAGAGTGGCAAAGATCCGCGGTTTTGGCAAACGTATTCGTGGAAAGTCGAAGCGTGCATGCGTGCACGGGACGCCCCTTGGCCGTAGGTCGAGCGCTAGGGTGGTGAATCCGAACCGGAGGCCCCGGCCCGGTGGGCGCGATCCTCCCAGTCCCCACCCC